AATATGATAGAGAAAAATAAAACTTGAAAGTGAAAAAAAAATATTGATTATAAAGTGAATAATAGTATAAGGAGAAGAAAATGTATGAAGATTTGGTGTTAAAAGTGAAGAGTATTTGTTGGTATTTATAGAAACAAATTCAGTATTTTTTAATAAAAAATTTCAATTTTTTATTGCACAAAAATTGGATGCCGTTGGATTGGAGAAAAAAAATATTATTGGAGAGCCCAGAGTGCGACACGTGGACTGTAGCAGCACTGTAGCTCGCTGATGTCAGCACCAAAACTCAAGCTGGAGCTCGGGCCAGCCCAGATTGCTGGGTCCCACCTTGCGCCTGGGCTTCATTTTGTTGCTGGAAACAGCTTTTTTGCCCAACCACCCCCCCGATCCCTCCCCTTGGTTGCATTGCAAGAAATGCTCTTATTTTATATATTCTACATATTTTTCTCTTCTTCCTATTTATTTTTTCTCCACATCTTTATATTTTGATATTTCCAAACCAGAAACAGGGCTGAATCTAATAGGAACCGCATAGGTCTGGTTTGGCCGTTTCTGATTTGATTCAATTCTTGTATACACTTTCTATAAAAACTTAACCGAACCGAATTAGACTGTGTATAAGTTTCAATTTTAATTCCAGTTTGAGAGAAAAATTGGACCGAACCGGATCCGTCGTGGTAGCTCAGTGTTCCGAATGCTACCTTATTCGCAGGGAGCCTCCTCTAAAATGTGATCTACAAGAGATGAACATGATGTTGCATGAGGCTCTGATTGAAACATTTTCATTAGAAGAATAGCGACTTAAGGCGATTGTGGAAATAGGCCACCATAGTTCTTGGGAAGTGGCAACTTATCTGAAGCTATCAAGGATAATAATACAATTGTCGTTTGCAAAATTTTGAAGACATTACCTATCAATGGGCTGAAATTTAGTAGGGGGCTACCTATCAATGGGCTGAATTTTAGTAGGCCTCCTAATGGCTTGCTGAGAACTCTTTTCAGGTATAGCTAAACCTAACTGCCCTTTTTTCTTTTCTTTTTAAAAGTAGCTAGCACCATGTGATGATTAAACTAATCATATAATCTTAACTGCATACAAATCAGAAGAAGTTAAATTTTAAAAGAAAAAACAGAAGGTCATACTCTATGATATACCAGAAAATCTTGAGGAACAAGAAAAAAAAACCCAAACAAAAACCTGAAACTATTGCAGGTGCCACTAATAAATGAGTAACTGGAAGTCTCAATAGCTGTGTTTCAGGTATGCGGTAAATTTTTCAAAGGGTTCGACAGTGATTGGAGAACTGCCATTGAAATTGGTAAGGGCACACTACACAAAATTATTGAAGGGGGAAAAAACTTGTCAGCACTGCTTGCAGCAATATATGTGTCTTAAATTCAAGTGCCAATGTTCATTGAAGTTTTCTCACTATGGAAAAGGGTATACTAAAAGGTATACTAGAAGCCATGACAGCTCAAAGAACAATTCATTAGGACACTCCACGAACCACTCCCTTTTTTTTTTTGGGCACCGCTATTGATTCTGGAGTTAAATGACATTTTTGCCCCTATCAAATTGTGGATCTATTGTGAATGTCAAGAGGGCAAATTTGGTTTTTCAGTTCTCTCCAATCAAATACTGGTGGTAGGTGTCCAGATGTTTGTTCTCTAGTTACATTACTGTCTAGCATTTCTGCCTAACTAGCAAGTAACCCAAGAAATCTCACAATGAACTGTCACAGATTTGTCTTTAAAGGTTTATCTCTTCTTGAGGCAATATTGCTATGTTACATATGGCCTAATAATAAAAAATATTTGTGAAAGGAGCTTGTAGCTCAAGTAATTAAGAGCATTTACTCATGTACTCGTCTTAGGTTCGATTTCCCCACTAGTTTAATTTGGACTTTAATTATAGCCCCTTCTCCAAATTCTTTATAAATATCCCCCTTCCTCAGTAACCCATCTTCAAATTCTTTCTTGACCAATGTCTCACTTCTGACAAATCAAAAAGGCCAAAGAAAAAAGAGTCTCAATTCTGCAAAAAGATTCTGAAAAGCATGGGCTCTTTGTGCTCTTTCTTAGCTTCCCTTTCTCTTTTGATTATGGTACTCTCTCTGGCTCATGGGCAGCCTTTGGTTCCTGCCTTGTTCCTATTTGGAGACTCTGTTGTGGATGCTGGTAATAACAACAATGTCGAAACCATAATCAAAGCCAACTTCAATCCTTATGGAAGAGACTTTGCCAACCACAAGCCAACTGGGAGGTTCTGTAATGGAAAGCTTGCTTCAGACTTCACTGGTACCTACTTATCTCAGAAAATCCATGCATTTCTCTCTCTCCTTTTTAGACTATCTTTTGGTCCTCTAATTGGGTTTTGTTTGGTTTGCTTGTTTGCTTTGTTTTCTTTGGCTACAGCTGAAAACCTTGGCTTTACTTCCTACCCACCAGCTTATCTTAGCAAAGAAGCTGCAGGAAAAAACCTCTTGATTGGTGCCAATTTTGCCTCAGCTGGTTCTGGTTATTATGACTCTACGGCAAAATTATATGTAAAAATATTTCAATATTGCTAACTAGCTAGTTAAAAATCTCTCTTTCACACAAACACATTGCATGATGTTTATAAATTGTCTTGTATAAATGTTGGGTTTTTGCAGCATACAATTTCACTAAATCAGCAGCTGGAGAACTACAAGGAATACCAAAACAAGGTGTTGGGAATTGCAGGAAAGGCCAATCTTACATCAATCATATCTGGTGCTATCTACCTTGTTAGTGCTGGCAGCAGTGACTTTGTTCAGAACTACTACATTAATCCTCTTCTTTACAAGGTCTACACAGCCAACCAGTTCTCTGACATTCTCATTCAATCTTATGCAAAATTTATTCAGGTAGATCACAATTCTTTTTCCTACATATTTCATTTCGAAACAACGAGGAGGTGGTATTTTGAACTTGGCACTTCTTCCAACATTGGGAATTAGAGAAATATCACTGCCACCGTCTAGAAAAAAATCACAGAATTTTGATTTTGGGACCAATTAAACCAAGGCCAGATTACCTTGGTTCTCATTGTACGTAACACTCCTGGTTGGCGTGTTAAGTCCCACATCAATAAATTACTGGGTCAATCTGGGCTTCATAAGCGATTGCAAAAAGCCTTATTAGTGACTAGTTCTTTTGAAATATAGCGCTGAGGTGTCATGCGCTGACTCGTGTGACACCTTAATATGGTTACATTTAGGGGACATTTATTTATGCAAACACTTAAACACCAAGAAACTAAATTAAATTGCCTTTGTTACAGAATCTATATGCATTGGGAGCAAGGAAAATTGGAGTGACCACATTGCCACCACTAGGATGCTTGCCAGCAGCCATCACAATATTTGGGGCGGATAGCAATGAGTGCTTGGCTAAGTTTAACAAGGATGCTGTCTCATTTAATAACAAGCTCAATGCCACATCTCAGAACTTGCAAAAGCAACTTTCTGGTCTCACTTTGGCCATCTTTGATATCTACCAACCTCTCTACAACCTTGTCACAAAGCCTGCTGAAAATGGTACGTCAAGGCCTTTATTTTACGGGAGCTTCTCCAATGAGGGGGTCAATTTGGTAGTTTAATAATAGCTCTCCAATTGACATGGTGCCTATTAATTACCCCTTCATTATAACCCCTTATTACAGTCGCTCTGCCTATTTTTATTGTTTTCACACAATATCGTCAGATATATTCTCGAATCTTAAAAATACAAATTTGTTTTCTAATATTCATTTTCCAAAAATAATTTTATAAATGTTAGTAGACAAGCCCATACAACTTTAATAATAATTTGTGTGATTAATTTACAGGGTTCTTTGAGGCAAGGAAGGCATGTTGTGGAACGGGCCTGGTAGAAACATCAATACTGTGCAATGCTGAGTCAATTGGCACGTGCGCCAATGCATCAGGGTATGTGTTTTGGGATAGTGTTCATCCTTCGGAAGCCGCAAACAAAGTTTTAGCCGATGATTTGCTGAGCAGTGGCATCTCCCTCATCTTCTAAATTAAATTATTTAATTTTTCCTGTTTAATTTCGAATTTACAATTAATTAATTGGTGTTGGGCCTGTTGGCTGCTTGCGTGCTTCTTAATTACACCACATAATGTAAATGAGTTGATGTGCTTTTTTTATTTTTAAATTAAAAAAATATTGTCGAAGTAAAATAAAGTGACAACATAATTATTTATTTTGTGTGCATCAGAATAATTCTGTCTATTGAGTGGAAAAAAAGAAAGGAATAAGATTTATTGCATTGAGAGACATCTTTATACTGTCTAGCCTCGTAGTGGAGTAAAACTTGCATATCTCATGTTTCAAACATGTTTCTCCATCTTTCATCATGTGATGAGAGAGACATAGAAAAATGGATATGAAAGTATGAGATAGACAAGTTTTTTTGCTATAGTCAGATTGTATTGGACTAAAAGAAAATAAGGCCGCATTTGTTTATTTCCAAATTATCAATGTGAAATTTTTATTATCAAATCAATTCGGTGAAAGAATAAACACCCATGATACAAAAATTTTGACATTAATTTTGCAGTAGCCAATGGGTGTTTACCTAAGTTGTAGGGGTGTTTGCTTGCAAGCCCCATGACACCAGTTCGAATCCCCCAGTGTGCACCTTCTCTCTAATAAAGGTGGAGCCCAAAAGAAAAGGCATACAACAAATAGCAGACAAATCTTTTTGTTTTTGTTTTTGGACAAAATCTATTTATCTTCCTATAATTTATGTGATGAAGAGACTAAAATGCTACCCGACAAAAAAAAAGAAAAAAAAGAAAGTAAAAAAAAGAGCCCTAAATGGGCTGATAATGTACTTTGAAAACGACACCGTTGCTTCATTTCTCGTGGAATTTGAAATGCAGCAATTTGGCTCTCATTTACCTTAAGATAATCCAAAACGCACTCTCTCAAGGTAGGCGTGGTTGCGTTTTGGGTTTCAGAGAGAGAGAGAGATGGACTACAACCTAGCTGCACTGAAGCTGCTGTGTGTCCAACTGAAAGACGCGCAAGAAACTTCTTCCGAGAACGCCATGGAATTGCACAACATCATATTCCAACGTGCCTGGTTACAGGTTCGAAGATCACCTTCCTCTTTCTCTTCCCCCTTTTTATTTTATTTTATTTTTATCTTTTCATTTTTCCAGTCTTCTCAAATTACCCCTCTTCTTTCCCTGTTATTACTTCATTACCTCCGGAAGGGCATTTTGGTCCACGTTTCCGCCGACGGAGAGTGCTTGTATCTCGACGACGGCACCGGCGTCATCGAGCTCTCCCTCAGACCCGAGTTTCGCGGCCGCCCTTGGAATATCGGTAACCACCACCCCCGGCGCACTTTAGCATTCCCGCGTCTTCTTTCTTTGTGCGCATTTTAGCACCTGCTATTTTTTATTTATTGTTTTTTTTCTCTTTTTTTTTTTTTTTTTTTTTTTTTTTTTTTTTTTTTGGGTAATGGATGTAATGGTTGGTTGGACGCTACATGGTCCGTACGGATGAGCCCCCAATGATCCAGGTAAATTATTTTGTATGTAAAATAAGATGTCAAGACTGGGAACAATTATTTAAGGTACAAGTTACTTGTGGCCTTATAATATGTTTGATTGAACACAGGAACTGAATTTGGCTCATAGAAATGTTAGCGGATGTCTCAAGTAAAATCATTTACATCACATTTATTTATCGATCACTATGTGATTTGTGAATGTGATCACTAACTTGATCTATAAATGTGATACATATAATGTTGTTTTAAGTCCCGGTATGGTTATCAACTAGCTCTTGGTCTAGTTTTACCCTCTTCCCTCAGTTTAAGAACTCCCAAATTCGAATCCTCTTTCTCTAGTGGTAAAATAAAATTGAAAATTCCAACCTGGGGAACTAAATTTTTTGCAGTAATTTCCCCTTTGTACCAAAGATTTGAAGAAGCATGTCGGAGATGATACTATTCTTAAAATTGCGACTTTAATGAAGTCCTCTTCATTTGAAGCACATTTTTGCCCAAATGGGCATTGCATACATGAGCAATTTCAAGTAATTTGAAGAACTGAAATTTAAATTGCCATTGTTTCTGAATATCAGGTTCACAAGATGGTTGATCTTTCGGCTTCCCCTGATCGAGAGGCAATGTGGTACCTTGAAGTTTTGGAGGCATACAAAATTTTCTATCGGCCCTTAATGGAAGGACCTGTGTAACCTTGTTTTTTCCTTTTTGTTTTTCTTAGACGATTTAGCATAGATAGAAAGATGATTTACCAACTGTGCAGATCCCAAACAAAGAAAATTTTGTTTTTTTTAAGTGCCTAAACAAGGAGAAGACCCTTCACATTTTGAACTCTTTTGTTTAACAAAATGTCACATGTACAAGATCGGGGTTGTGATAGTTACATAGCTCATACAGGCCCTGTAGTAGCTTTGAACTGATCATATTTGATCCCTGTGCTTAGTTTCTGAGTACTTCGTATGATAAGGTGGCCGGGTAGGTTGACAGTCCCAGTCTGTTCCAGCCTTGCCTTGGCGATGTTTGAGGTGCAGTTTCAGTCTTCAGCAATGATGTTCTCACAACTTTATGTTCCTTTTCCTATTGGAGATCCAAAGAAATTGTGTTCCTCCTAGTGATATTTTGTAACAAACCTTTGTTGCTGTGACTCTAGTCTATTCTTTGAAGTCCATGTCCTGAGAAACTGCAGGCGGTGCATACCTGAAAGATACATAGTCATGACATTGTCAATAAAGATCAGTGGACAAAAAAATCAACCAGCATCAATGAACCGAAACTTTAAAACATCGCTCCAAACAGGATATGTGATCTTTCATAATTAATACACAAGAAAGTACGCACAAAATCAGAGACACACAACAGTTTATCGATTTGGACCAAAAAAATGAAAAATAAAAAATAATCAATCTCTTCTGATTTTCTTACCATCCAAGCACGCACCCGAATGCCAAACAAAGAAATCAGCTTTCAATTATTATGATCAGTATCATATTATAAGGCATCAACAAACACTATGAAAACAACACAGAGAAAGCAGTATGATTTGCCAATTACTTTTGATGTCAAATTAGAAGATTTTTATACAGCCAACAAATCACTCTGACCATTACAAGATTGGCTTGGAAATAATTAAATTCAACCAAGTACTCTCGCCCTCTCGCCCCAAATACCCTTCTGTCTTCTTCATCTTCAAACCTCGCTTCGATTTCAAAAAGACTACAAAGCCTGCCAGTACCAACTGCCAAAGTTTCTCCCATCAAAGGGTGTCCACCCAATCCAAAGTCGGGCCTCCTCAGCCAGAAAATGCTCGTGTGTAGACCTAATCTAGTTAAGCTCTGCTTCATTTTTCATAAGATAATAGGGAGTACACACTGCTTTAAAACTTCTCCATCTCTCCCCTCCTTTTAGATTTTCTTCACACGGAGGGGACATAAAAGGACTTGTTAGCCCATTTAGATGAGAACAGATTTGTTAGGCCTTATGAAGAAAACAGAAACAACGGATGAGTATAGGCCCTTAGATGGTTAGGCCTTTAAATGGGACACAAAGATAATGATGTCAAGTAATGAGAATAGTTTAAAACAAGATATCTTTGAGGATTCATAAAAGCGTGAAAAATTAAGAACAGAGGAACACAGCTTACTCAGAATGCTTACAACAGCAATCCAACAATCTATCAATGTTTATATCATCCACATGTCGGTTGCCCATCATTTCATTCTCTTTGTCATCATCCTTTGAAGCAGTCCACTGATTTAAAAGACTGATGATCCTTCTAAGCTGTAGCAAAAGTAAAGGAAAAAGAAAATATTGCAGGACATGGAACTTGATATGTGAAACAATATAAACCTCACATATGGCAGGAAAATAAGATTCTATTGCCAATTTTTTGCATTGTTACTGCTAGTCAGAACAGGATACAGATGTAGTTCTGGCTTTTGAGTTTAATTCATCTAATTGGGAGTCCAGAAGATCATCTTCAATCACATCAGATTTGCTAACTAGAACTGAAACATACTGCTGGAGAGCTGATTGGCTCATTTCATTTTCCTGAACTCTAACCAGTAACCTTGCAATGATGTTCCAGAGTGCACTCCTTGCTTCCAAATCCTCCGAAGAAAAGGGGAATATGTCAAGCAGACCCTGTAAGAAAGGCAAATCTGGATGGATATGTAGTGTCACTTCCACCTCATGTGGTGTTATTAAACCAAAAGAATCTGATGGTAACTTTAAAACAAAAGAAAAGAGAAATATAAACAATTTACCCTGTGATATCTCTGAAGCTAGATTTGGTTCATCTGAAAGAATGTTTGCAATTAGAACTCCAGCCGTGACACAAGAATTTGTAACCTACACAAGAAAATTTTTATCCAGTGGTAGTTGATCACCATATAAAGTTCTTTTTCCAGCATATGAAATGGTGAACTAGAAGGAAAATAGTAGGAAAAATAGCAATACTTTAGCATGTTTCTTTCACACAACATGATATGGTTTGTCCTTTTTAATGTCTTTATTTTCGGCTCAACAATATTTGATAACCACACTTTGAATTGTCACACCTCTCTTTACTTCACAAGACTTAACTGGCTCCAACTTTGAGAAAAGATTCTTCTACCTCGTGGTCAACAGCATTACTACACTTAGTCAGAATATCAATATCCACACATCTATTGCATAATTCAGTTTAAGATACTTATATATGTCATAATTCCGTTATTTATTATCAAGATCTTGGCTACATCATTTTCTTTCTTTTTAAAGCCCTCATTTTCGTGCTCGTATTATTATTGAAAAATTTATTAAGAATTACATACTGCACAGAAGGTTTTTTTTCCTTCCAAATTTTGGAGAAGTTACCAAAATATCTATTGAATCAAAGATCCAGTTGCACAGATTACTCCCTGGTATAGAATAACCTTTTCAGAATATGGTTTCAAGAAAGGGTAGCATTTGTAAGCAGTCACTTCAACACACATACTGATGCGTATGTTAACCTCTAGATTTCTTTAATACAAAGAACAGATAGTTCTTGAAATTTATAAGAAAACAAAGAATATTAATTATCTATGTTGAACTGTAGATTAGTTACAAGAATTCAGCAGAATACCAATTCCCAGATTATTAGCTGAAGCAGGGAAGGAAAGAGCACCACCCAACAATTTCATAAATATGGACGTCATTTAGTATACCCACAGTTCAAAGTTTCTGAGTGATAATGTACCTCAACTTTATCAGGGAGTTTGACCAGGTCACAAACTAGCCGAAAAAGATCTTTGTTTGAACAAATCTCTTGGGAATGACCATCAATAACAGAAAGAGCTTCAATGGAACGGAGGATTACATCAAGAACCGGGTACCTGGTATTTTACCAAAATGAAAATATATCAAATAAATAATGTAGACTTCAGGGAAAAGACTTACAAATACATTTTATAAAGAAAACTTCACACAAGGCAATAAGTTGCATATGAAATTACCATGATCAACAAAACTACTGTCTAGAAAAACTAATGTAAGACAACCAAATTTTTCTTCACTATCAGTCAAAATGAAAACATCAAAATATTAGTGACATAAATGGAGAACCAATTTGAGGCATATATAATATAAACACTAAAAGAAACAGCTTCCATGAAACATGAAATTACCCACACACAAAAATGTGCACAGTTTTCCATGCACATAAGAAAAAAAAATAATCTAGCAATTGTGTATTTATCTCGTTAGCTCTTTAACTGCAGATTACACACCTTTCTGACACTCTTTCACTCAATAATTGGCTCATTTCAAAATCCAAGAGATTTATTAATACACTTGCTAAGCCCAGCTTCATTACAGGTGGCAGGAGAATGAGCACAACTTCCTCTGAACTTTCAATGGTGGCTAACAAGAGTTCAACACTCTGTTAAAAAAGCAAGGTCAGCAAGGCAACAAACTTACATATTCCAACTTGTAAAATAGAGAATAATAAGCGACTCATTGATATGTTTGAACAGTCTTTGGCCATCTAAAGTATCAATACCAAGAGAGTAATTGACACCATTCAAGGTGTAGATCCTAAACATTTTCTTATCAAGGTGTTGTTGACACCATATGATTATGTCAAATTATATACAATTTAGAAAAATTTAAACATTAAGCAAACCAGTAAAATTAATATAATTTTAAAACTTTCCAAAGTTATCAATGTTTCTTTGGTCAATAGTTGTTTTGACCGTAAGGTCCTTTAAACAATTGATTAAGCTCTATCCACTAAATAACAGTATATTAATTACATAAAATAAATGTATTTTATAATTAAATGCTCTGACTTTCCAGTTTCTTTCATCCATATTGTGATTAATCAAGCAACTCTGTAGCCAGTAGGGATGCCACTTCCCACATTTTAACAGAGTTGACAGAGAGACTTTTTGACTTTATAGTTCATGATATTCTCTTTGGTGAAGTGTATTGGTATATCATTCCTAAGACTGCTTTTTGTAAATTATTCATCAAAACGTGAGAAACACTACAAGCGCCAGGCAAACACTGCCATGACACAAACAAGAATAACCAAAGGACTCAGGCAAAAAACTTTTCACACATGCATGTGTCTACAAAAAGTGATGGCATACCAAATTCATATGAGTAAAAGCTGAATATATAAGATATCTGCTACCTTTTCTATAAGCTGTGGATTTAAGCTATTTTCTGCAATCCATAAAATACGGCTCAGATTATGTTCAGACTGCAATTCTTTGGCCCAAGATATGCGTTCACTACTTTGAAGACCCACAGTTAACAGCCTGTGTCAATATAACAATTGTAAGAGCAGATTACTGAGTGACTGTAGTACGATACATGTAAATTATTAAACTCTGTATAATACACTAGTGGTACTGGAATATGAAAGATAGAGTATGTATTCTCCTTGCATACCTCACAGATAATGGTTTGTAACAATAGGATTAAAAATGAATTTTAAGGTGATAAATTTCCTTGCCAAGCCAAGGAAAATGCAGGAAGAAATGCAAAAGAGGGACTATAATACACACATGATACAACATAATAGAACAGAAAATGAGGAAATATAAAATATCATATACCACATCAAGGGAAAATAGATGAAACTTATATATACCTGCAGGCTTCACATAAGCACTGAGCATCCTCTGAAAATAACTGATCCACAACTGTTCCAATTAATCCAATTGTAGAGACTATATGTTTCATGGGAACTTCGTGACAGGCAAGGTTTCCAATAATTCCAAGGGTGATTTCCTGGAATAAGAAAAGAGAATATAGCCAACTCAAATCATAATACAGAGAGAGAGAGAGAGAGAGAGAGAGAGAGAGAGAGAATTTCAACTCAAATCATAAAAAGGATGTCATAGAAGAGGAGGAATTTGTCTAACCGTAGCACGCACAGATTGTGAAACCATAAGGTTCGCTAAAAGCACTTCAAGTATAAGGTTTTGCACCTGCACAGATAATTTTAAAGTCTACCCCAGTAAATAAAATATGAAAAAAGTACAAGTTTAGACTAGAGAAACAATAACCAGATAGCTACACGTGAAGTAGAAGCCTAGAACAAATCAAAACTACAAATCCAGCACATATTTTTTTTGTAAAACCACTAAAGTATGGCCATTGCATATGATATTCTTTACAATAAATAGTTCTAGAGTTGACACTGCATGAAGTTGAAATGATAAAGTAGCAATTGTCTTTATCATTGTTAAATGTCATAATCATCATGTCATGTTAAGAATCAATATTGCGAATAAAATAAATAAATAATGACTAAGGCTACAGTTTCTGGTTTTTGCATCAAATGAGCTTGTCTTCCAATTAATTGGGCTCAACATTATGAAACTGAGAATGACGCATCAAATTCCAAACAAATCAAATTAAACAAGAAGCAATGAAGAGAAATCAACAACAATGAAAAAAAATCCCACGCACCATGAGTTCTGCATGAGTTTTACTTGCAGCAAGATCCCATAAAATGCAACCATATTCTTCCCAAGCCTCTTCTCCCACTGGGACACTATGGCCAGACTGTTCAGCTCCATCATATGAACCATTGTTTTGTCCTTCCTCAGGAGCACTTTTATGAAAATCATCAGCAATTTCCATGCTCTCAGATCCATCATTTGATACGTGCAGAAGTCTATCTCCAGACAGAGTGGGAGCAGTCTTATCTGTATGATCAGTATCTAATCCTAGCACATGGGAATAAAAAACATCACCATGCGAGTTGTGATTATTACTTGCATTAGCCGGTAGAAGCTTCCGTATCAGAGAGATCACATAACTAGGATCTACTGTTGTTGAGATGTCAAAGAACTGGAATGTATGCACGGAAACACATTTCAAACATTAAAATTTTGTCAGTATGCACGAAATCTTGCTCTTATACAAGTTTCCATAACTTATGTCTATATATGCACGCATATATACATGTATTTGTGTGTGTGCAGCATATGCTTGTCATCAACACAAATTTGCGTGCTTAGTCAAAATATGATGAAATATACTAGGCTAACTGAAAATGTGACTTTGTGCCATGGCCAAAGACTAAAACCCACTTTACCTTATTGAAAGAAGGATTTATGGATAGAATGACGAACGGCGTCATTGAGTATTACAGAAATAATAATAATAATAATAAGACTAGAACAATTAAATGCTTAAGGACTAGGATGTGTAAGCATAATTTTTTTTAATATCAAAAGGCATTTGAAATGTACTGGGTTAGTAGTATTCAGTTGAGTTAATCATTTTTCATATCCTAACCAATATATAATTAAGTTGCATGGACATTTTAACAGTGAATAAATTGGAAAAACATATAATACCCACATCATAGGTGTCCTCCTAGTCGATGTTGTTAGTCAAAGAAACCCAAGTTGAAGAAGAATTAAAATTCTTAGCTTTCTCATAAATTTCAAGAAGAATAATCGAATCCTAGAACCCCAAATGCTCCAAAACTAAAAAGGGTTTAGTGGAAGCTGAACGGAATAATTGAATTGAGATAAAAGAAAAATTAAAGTGAAACGAGAGCTGTTGATGGTTACCTCATCAGGCGGAGCGGAAGGGTTATGTGCAGGTGCATCATGGCGCTGCACTTGTCGTTCTTGCTCTTCTTGGTCTTCTAGAGGTACTGATTTTGCGTCCACTGCCATTACCACCAGCTTAAAACGAGCGTCGTTCTGTTTGTCAGCTTAGGTTTCCCTCTGTTTTCAAATTTTCTGTTCAGTTCTGTTTTTATCTTCTCTATCCGGGTCAAATATATATTTTTCTTTTGTTCTATTTTTTTTCTTTTTCCAGTAATCCGTTTTTAATGGTACCGAAAAACACTTCAAAATACTTTCTTTTGGATTTAATAATTGTTCCTTTCATTGCCAAGTTGTTGCAAAATTTTTGCAACCCATCGGCCTCGTTTGGTTCACGGAAAGTAACCGGGAGATATCACTTTATTTTCATTTTCATGTTTGTTTTGAGTAGGCATAGAAAACAAAGTTTGTATAATTTTTCAATTATATCCATATTAAATCAAATAAAACAAAATGCATTTAATAATATATTGCAATTTTAAATTATTAATGGAGACAAAATGATCATGGAAAATGTGCATTTAATGTTGACTCATTTTCTCAAATTTTCACATGAGAATGGAAAATAAAACCCAAGTTGGGAGGAGGGCTTCACTTTTCCTCTACTTTTATCATGTGTTAGACAACTATTTCTCAAGCCTGAACTTACCAAATATGGGAAAACAATTGATTTCTCATCCCCAAGCTTCCTTTCTCATAAATCAAACGGATAGTGTAGTAAGAGAAAAACTAGAAGATTTTATCCACACAAAAAATGAAAAAATAGAAAAGAAAAAGAAAAAGAAAATGCCAAAGAGTTAAATTTTTATCATCCTAGTTGACTCAACTAACTAGTTGGGGCAAAATGTTTGTTGCTCAAAATGTTTAAGGGCACTTCCACCCATGGCAAAGGACAAGGGCAAGGCAAGGACTGTTACTATCTACGTGAATAGTAACAGCCCTTACAAAAGGCTTGTGGTGTTTCCACCCATTGTCATGGCAACCACTATTCACATGAGATATGAGGAAATGAATTTGTATAGAGTTTTGGTGTGGGAAGTGAAAAATATGACTAAATATTTATTTTAAAAATTTTCTGAAAATTTTAATATTTTTATAGATTTTTTTCAAAATTTTTAAATTTTTAATTGTTGCTGACATCAGCAAACCAAGACTAGAGCACGGGATCGTTTTGCCTGCGGGCTGGCCTGGTTTCGTGGGACCCACAACTTGCTAAAGCAAGTTTGGCCCGTTGGAAGGCGTCGCCTAAGCTTGGACCCTGTCCTGCCCTTGGCTTGGGGCAACCGATGGAATAGCTTTAAGAGTAGTTACCTTGCTGGTTATCCTGTGCAATATTATGATACCATCTCAAAATAGTTGTCTTATGAAATATTATGATACTAGCTTTAAATGGTTAAGAATAATTACATTGCTCTCGGTATCCTCTCCTCGAATGTTACGATACCAATTCTCAAAGATAGACCCATATATTACCACCCAAAAATCCATTTTGTCCCGAATCAAACGCCTTTTCAGAGTAAAATTCACTCCAATGAAAGAGTGCTAAAATAGTAAAATGTTTAGGAGAAATACGACCTCAATCTTTACCAAAAATAAAATGACCCCAATTTTATAGGAGAGAGTAAAATCTTGTTAAATATTGTAACTAGAAAACCGAACACCAACTGTAATAAAATATATAAAAATGAGAAAATTAATAAATGAGAAAATTTTAAAATAAAATATCCGCAATAATCCATTTGTTCGTTACAGCGACCCAAACCCCGCCCAACTACCCCATCTACATGGTCGCAACCAGAGCTCACAGCACTCTGCAATGGCTCTGAATCCATGGCCGCTCGTCCTCCACCTCTCGCTCCACTCTTCATCCCACTCCTCTCAGCTCTTCTGCTCCCAACTCAGATCAAAGACCGAGCTCTCTGCCTTCTCTCCGATTTCGCTCAAGCTCTCCGTCTCGCTCTCGCCGAGACCTAAGTGCTTCAGATCGGCGACCGAGGAGGACCGGTTCAGCGAGCCTGAAACCCTATCCGATGACGAAGAAGCTGGATCAAACGACGACGTTCAGGTCAACAGCCAGCACCAGGCCACGACGACGACGAAGACGGAGACAAGGAGTGGTGGTTCGTTGAGGGTTACGACAAGTGATTCTCTGTCGCTTGGGATTCGTGAGCCGGTCTACTATGTCCGTTGTCGCAAGCAGATTTCGTATTAGCGCTTGGGAACTGTGATTAATGAACTAATCCGCATCATTAACCAATTATTTTTTATTTGTTTATTTTGTAGGTGGAAGAAGTGAAGGCTAATGGGAAGATATCTACTAGAAAAATCAACAGACGTCAGCTATTGAAGTCAAGTGGTGAGTATATTTAATTAATTAATCAATTTATTATAGAAAATTGCACGTGTGGTGTTGTTGTAAATAAATTCGCTTATCCATGACCGTTGATTTTAAACTGCCAGCAACATTGATTTGGGTTTATTGCTAAAAAGTGTTGCCTTTTGGGACTTATTTCTACTGCTGTTTTCTGCGGTATGAGTGTAAATTTTCATTCTCAGGTCTTCGTCCACGTGATATCCGAAGTATTGATCCTTCATTGTTTCTGACAAATTCGGTACCTACTTTGCTGGTATGATGCCAACTTCCATGCAGTAATTTTTCATGCTAGTTGTTGTAAGTTATGTTATTTTTGTGTGTGTTCTCTCACACAGTCACCTGTATACAGTGTTTAACAAATATATCTTCTTCCTTTTCTTTTTTGGCTGTCAATGGCATAGATAATAGCATTTAAAGTCTTTCTTTTTTTTTCTTTTTTTCTTTTTAAATGGCTGATGTTGAAATCATATCTACGAGCTCGTTTTGATCCACCTCCTAGGTCCGTGAGCATGCTATTCTGTTAAATCTAGGCTCGTTACACGCAATTGCAATGCAAGAGCGTGTCCTGATTTTTGACTACAACAGGTGAGATTTGTCTTTGGGAGCAGAGCAAATTTTTGCATCCATTGACTTCCATGCAAATCAAAGCATAATAATATTGAAAATTTGGTTGAATGTGCAGTATAGGAGGGAAAGCATTTATAGAAGCATTGCTGCCTCGATTGAACCCCAAAAATATGAATGGAGGACCATCTATGCCATTTGAGCTTGAGGTTAGCATTCTGATCACCCTTAATATCTTCATACTGACGAGCAAGGCAATTAGATGCATACATGTCTGTATTGAGATTGCAAGAAAACCACTTAAGATCAGTATGGAAGATGATAGTGAGGACCAGTTGGGGATCAGGATTGTCACATACCCTAGGCTTTAGAAGGTTTCCAGAGTAATGTGTCTTTTGGGAACATTGAGTTATCCGTTAAGTCATGGTAAAGATTTTGAATAGAACCTGACAGCTTGTGGCATGCAGTGTGAAATTACCTATAGGAAATCAGAGATCAATTTTGCTTCAGAGAAATTACCTAGCTGGAAATCAGAGACATCAATTTTGCTTCAACCCTACAGCTAAATGACACTTCCAAACCTATACTAAGTTCTAGGAAATGCCAACACAATTTCATACTAACACAGTGAATTGCATAATATGCACATTCCATTACAAGTTACAACAATTGAAATGGAGGTGAAGAAGAAGAAAAAAAGCATTTTCCTTTTTGCTTTAGGTGTGAGTGCTTATAGCAATATCAAATTCTGAAGGTCCACAGTTGAGTTTCAAAACCTAAAATTTAAAATAGATTTTATACTGTTGCCATGTATCTCGTCTCAAGAAATTAGAGCGACCTATGGTTTATGGTCCTCTGCTGAAAGGGTTTACAAGAGGTAAAAGTGACCTTATCTATCATGCGTATGCCTCTTCTACCAAGAGGTTTGGATTAACCAAAAGAGCAGTCACTGATATTAAAAAGGACATTTGCGTTACAAATCATATTTGTACTTTCTATACCTAGGGCAATGGGTATAAGTCCTTGGGAGCTTTCTTTGCATTTCTATTCATTGTATTCATTGTCTTGCATATCTGAGTGCATGCAGTATCAGAATGCATGAAAGAATAAAAGATCTTTGTGGTACTTTCAGGTTGTTGAAGCAGCATTACTCTCGAGAATACATCGTTTAGAACAAAGATTAATGGATGTAGAACCTCGTGTGAGTATGGAAACATAGTGAGTATTTTATTTTTTATTTTTTATTTTTGCCATGTTCTTCAAGCCCCTTTGGCAAATATCCGTCTTAGACCTTGCTTCTTCTCTCTGCACCTTGCCAACAAAATACTTATGGGTTGACCAATCTAAACATCACATGTTCTGTTACTTTTGCTAATTATTGTACTGGTTATTTTTATTTTTTTTAAACTTCATGTAATTGTTTATGTTATAACAGCTGTCTCTAGAGTGGAAATGGAAAAGAAAAAAGATTTGTTGAAGAAATAATATAATAGGGATAAAAACCACTGGTTCCAGTGGATATATGTTTAGTTTTCTTCATTTTGCTTCAGGTTGAAAAGTTACTTGAGGTTTTGCCGAACCGGTTAACTGCTGACATACTGGAGCAGCTTCGGATTAGCAAGCAAACCTTGGTATAGTTGTTGATTTTAATTTAAATGCTAAACCCGGTTTTACTGGCATTGACAAACGTCAGTATTAATATTATTCCTTTTCCTTTGTTAATGAAAGGTTGAATTGGGCTCACGGGCAGGGGCTCTCAGACAAATGCTGTTTGATCTATTGGAGGATCCCCATGAAATACGCCGTATATGTATTATGGGGAGAAACTGTACACTCAAGAAGGGAAACGATGATGTTGAATGCGCTGTTCCTTCAGAGAAGCAGATCGCTGAGGGTAAATTTTAGTTGCAATTACTGTAATTTACTTTTGGAATGTATAAATTACATAAACAGTCAAAAAGTATTAAATTTATATTTGGTTTGATGTTATATACAGACGAGGAGGAAGAAATCGAGATGCTCTTGGAAAATTATCTTCAAAGGTTAGGCTCTTTCTCACCCTCCCCCAACAAAGAAAAAAAAGAAAGAAGGAGATTTCATTAGTGCTAAGATGAACTTGATTTGAAACTTGTGTTATGACGTTCATTGTGGAAGTTGACCTTAGTACTTGTTTCATTTGCAGATGTGAATCTTGTCATGGACAGGCCGAAAGGCTTCTTGATTCTGCTAAAGAAATGGAAGATTCTATAGCTGTCAATCTGAGGTCTGAATTTTTTTTGTTGTTTTTGGCTTGTTTATAGAGTTTCTTCCTGGATGTGAAACCTTTATTGATTGTTTTGTTTTGTTATACAACCATTGAACTCCAAATGTTTATGCTTTTAGAAAATTAGGCCAACAATGTATGTCAAAATAGCATCCTACTTCACGTGCAGCCCCATCTTGCAAATGGAGAGGTAAACATACAAGCAAACGGAGAAACATATAGGTGTAGCTCCATTCCTCACCTTACAACCCCACCCAGAGCTCCATTAGTATTAGTTAATGTGTCATATAGTCGTGAAACAGAAAATTAAAGATCTCCTTTCTGTTAATTATGTTCAATGATCCATATCAGGTGATTTTCATTTGTCTAATACCAATTTTAACTGATTTCATCTATCAGTTCTCGGAGGCTTGAGGTTAGCAGAGTGGAATTACTACTTCAGGTTGGGACGTTTTGTGTGGCGCTTGGCGCTTTGGTTGCAGGTGTGTCCTTATCTACAAATAAGTTTGGTTATTTATTTTGTAAATTCTGTTCCAATGTGTATGGGAATCTATTAGTGTTCATAATCTTACCCTGTTGCACATCATCTCACTACCTAGAAACGTGCAATGTGTTTTGATGTCCATGACAAGCCTTTTGATTTCCTTCTAATTGCAGGTATATTTGGCATGAATTTGAGGTCCTACCTTGAAGAACATGTGGTACGTTAGTTTTTGAAGTTAACTTAATGCGACTCTCGTCCCATTTTCACTGGGGTGATTGCAACTTGACCATTACTTATTGCTTAACTTGGTGCAGTTTGCATTTTGGCTTACAACAGCAGGGATAATTGTTGGAGCTGTTGTGGGATTTGTCCTCATGTATTCCTATCTCAGGACAAGGAAAATATTGTAACTAGTAGAAAGTGATTCAAGTATAGGTAGAAGTTAGTCCTTAATCTTCTTTTTGGTTTTCCCTTATGAAACTTGGTATGCAATGTTACCAATATGGTGTCTGGCATGTACGGTCAACGACTTACAAGTTTTCAGTTCAGGGATTTGATTCTGATTTCCTTTGTTACAAAATTAAGTCCATGATATTCAAGTGCTTTTCTTTTATGAGATCTGGAAACTTAATAGCATCTTATCAAATTTATAGGACATTTCAGAGGCCAAG